TGATAAATTTAAGTATATACGATCTCTGTGATCCTGTGTCAAATAAAGCTCTTACACTTCTTCTCTTTCCATTTGCGTCATTGGATGCAAGCAGAGTTTTTAACAGAACTTCTGTTTGACTTTGGTTAGATGTTACATTTTCATCAATGTTCTCACATTGATGAGTCTCTGAGTTAATTCTCTTATCAATGTTAGACAATTCAGGATATGCTATAGTTAACGTTTCGTTTTACAAATTATGCATCGAACATTTGCCTTTCAAATTTTCAAACCATGTCTGATTTTCAAACATGCAAAACAGGCTTTATTTTTCCTTAAAATATCCTTATTTTCCTCAAAAGACATTTTTGGCCTTTAAAATAGTCTTGAGAATAGTATGTTTTGCCACAAAATACCAAAGCAGGTTTCATAACTTTAGTACCTGAAACTATATCATTAGCCACTGGAGCAGAAATTTCATCTTTAGTTTTGATTTTTATTTGAAATTTCATTCGATTTAAAACCAGCTTTAGATAAAGAAATTCATTCTTTGCTTTCAACTTCCTCTTAAAGAAACAATAATAACTGGGATAATTTTATTGCCATATGTTTATTTTTCTTCTGCATTGATTACTGAATTATGTAACCAAACCATTAACAAAGTTTGGGGAATGCATGATTTCACCAATGAGAGTAATAACATGGCAGCATACTTATCGATAGTTACGCCATCCAACTTTATGAGGTCTCAACTGTGACTCCAATCTGTCATACAACTACACATTTGATCTTAGCCACAAAGGCTGAGAAGCGATATCTGTCATACAACTGCATAATATTCGTCTTTGTTTTCATGTTCATTTTATAGCTGTTCGCAGATATAATACTGAACTAGTAGCTCTTGACGGCCAAACCTTGTTTTTAGGCTCTCAATGGCATCAACAGTTGGCGGATAGCTGTCTACGATTTCTGAGGCTCTACTGCCAACTGTCATGCATTCGATGAGGTATACTGAAATTTATCTTCATAACTAATTGACTCATCATGAATTCTACTGAACTGACTCCAAAATGTGAGCCAGTCTTTCACTGCCCCATTAAATCTAACTAATTCCATTTTGGGAAGCTTTAATTTTGTTTTTTCTCCTGTATTCATTGCCAAACAGTTCACAAAAATTTGAGAGTTTATCAAGACTTGCTTTAGCATGAATACAAGATTTATCTAATTTTTTTTATATTCTTCAATTTTTTTGTATTCGGCATCAACATCTTCAGATTTGGCATGTATTAAAGCAGTACAAATTTCATCATGTAATTAAAACAAATTAAGAAAGAAGCTCTAAAGAAGAAAATTAAATTTCAATTTCCTCATATTTTAATAATGGTTCATTTAAAGATGTTATTAATACATTATAGTACTTCGTGAACATTGCTCTAACAGATGTTCTTCTTTTAATAATATTTTCCATAATAATAAAATCCTAATTCAGTAAGTGAATATTAGCAAGTTCGCTAATTTTTATCTTTAAATATCACTTCCATACATCACCACGGTGTTCAAAATGGATAGATTACCCATCTATTCCCTCCTTAGAATTTTATTACATACATATTCTTTTAAAACAAAATTAATTCTAAACATAAACAATGATGCCAGTCGCACCAAGAAAATTATTTTGTTACACTTGTTACCAGATTTGCTCTGTAGCTACCTAAAGGTGGAATACTTACACAAGGGATTCTTTTTTTTTAGGTTTTTTATAGTTTCGTTGTCAGCCTTTTATTTACCTGTTAAGTATTTAGTTCATAAATACAAAAAGTATTTTATTCAAGTTTTGGTATTTATCAACATTTTCTGTACTTGTTTAATTTATAAAATTCGTTAAAAATAATCTGAAATTAAATAAAGTTATATGAATTTTCTGAGTTTTGGAAAGAAGGGGGAGGAAAACGATAATCTAGCATTTTTTAAAGGGGAAAAAGTTACGAACCACTGTTCTAAACATTTCTTTCTGCCACTCATTTGGTCTGTGTTCACACACACACACATATAAATACATTTGGTGTTAAATGATAATTCCACAGGCAAATCTGTTCACAACCCATCAGTTCTATTAATCCAGCCCAAGATCTGCCTCAGCAGTGAAGCAGTAAAGTATTCTAAAAGTGTGTATAGTGTTCCCTCTAGTTTCTTAATTTGAAATACCCCTTTCCTTAATGGACAGGTATTTATGTGTAACATCAAAATTTAATGGCATTTTTCTGGTATTATGTATGTTATGTAGTTTTCATAAACTACACCTTCATTAAAAAAATCCAAATTTATCCACCTTTGCAAAAAGTAGTTATTCTGTACAGTTGCATATGAAGACTTACAAAAGACTGGAAAATGCTTTCAATTTATGTGTTAGTAGCATTAATCTCAATGATCAGTGTTCATGATTTAAGTATACTGTCTAAAATTATTTCAAGCATGTTATATTTATGATGACAATACCTTGAATAATAATTATTAATTCTTGTTTTATGAATATCATTTTTATTATTTGTTTAATCGTTGATTAATAATTCACTTATTGTATTATTAATTAGCAATAATATTTTGCCTGTTTCTTGCATTCTATGTGTATTCATTATAAACTGCTCAAAACAATTAAAGGATATTACATGTTTTATATAAAATAAAGATATAAGCGAAATTTGTTTTGCCAAAAATGGAAGAAGAGAATCCCAAATGCAAATTTTTCTGATTTTCAAACTGTGGAGTATGCAGATTTTGAGTTTGACGTCAAAAACGTCGCTTCAGTGGCAGCGAATGAAATTTGACTTTCAACTGAATAAAAGACAATGAAGACAAGGATGATCAGCATTCAGTGACTGCTTTGTTTTGATGAGTATGATGTCTCAGTGAAGTCATTTAACTGATTCAGAGGCTGGGAGAGTTGTTGGTAGGTTAGAAGGGGGCCAAACTCAAGCCGAAGTAGCGCAAGCCATTGGAGTGTCACAAAGTGTGATTTCCAGGATCTGGAACCGTTTTTTGGAAACTGGAAGTGAAGTCGAAGACCAGGGCAAGGTCATAGACAGGCAACAATGCCCAATGAAGATCGTTATTTAGTGTTAACTTCTCGGACACACTGAAATATGAATGCTACTCTTCTCCAACAACACCTTCGCTCGGCTACTGGCACCACGGTTTCAACTCAGAATGTCCGAAACTGACTCCATGGTGTAGGTCTGTATGCTCGCCGACTGATGGTACGTGTTAGACTAACATCAAGGCATCGTCGCGACCGCAGGGAGTGGGGAACAGAGCATGTGAACTGGAGGAGAAATGAATGGAGCAATGTTCTTTTTTCTGACGAGTCCCGTTTTTCTTTTCATCCTGATAATAGGCGTATTTTCATCTGGAGGGACCGTGGCAGAAGGAATAATCCTGCGTTCGTGCACGAAAGTGTCAGATTTGGCGGTGGGAGAGTGTTGGTGTATGGTGGCATCGCCATTGACAGGCGCACAGACCTCTACATCATTCGAGATGGACCTCTGACTGGTCGCCGATATAGGGATGAGATCCTCAGTCCTATTGTAGTCTCTTACGGTGCAGCAATCGGTGATGACTTCATTTTAATGGACGATAACTGCAGGCTAACCTGGTGGAAAATTTCCTTTCCGAGGAAGGAATCGTACGAATGGAATGGCCAGCGTGTTCTCCAGACAGGAGTACAATAGAACACATTTGGGACGCTTTAGGAAGATGAGTTGCTGGCCACCAACTACCCCCACAAACTCTCCAAGAACTGGAAAGAGCTCTTCTGGAAGAGTGGGACAGAATATCCCAACTTGTGATTAATAGCCTCATTGACTCCATGCCTCAAAGGTGTTCAACATTGCTGACCATCCGTGGAAACCACACTCCCTACTGAAAATGGTTTCCTTTGAAGAAAACACCTTTTCTTATTCTTTTTTTCTCATATGCACAAATTGTGTTTTTTTTTTCCTTTTGTACACAAATGCACAATAAAATGCATTTTTTTTTCTGCCAAACATGTGTAATTTATTCTTATATAACCTACTACATCTGTCGACCATGTATCAATCAGCTAAAAAGTTTCCCAACCACAAGATCCACCTAAAACCACAATATCCTTTAATTGTTTTGAGCAGTGTAGTTTGGCCTTAAAAACTTCACAAGGTCATATGTTGGGTCGTACAGTGATTTAAGATTGCCCTTGCTTGTTTTAAATATTTTGAGCTTGAGAATATTCTGGATTTCTGTTTTGTATGCAGTTACAGAATTATTTCAAAATGCAAATATATCCACTTTATGTGGTAAATATTTTTACCTCTATATAACTATTTGATGGCCATATCTTTATTTCTTTGTGGTACACCATTTAATAATTTCTGAATTATTTTCTTCCAAAGATGAAGAAATATTCAAAATTTTTTTATATTGGTTCTTCAAAAATCTGTAATCAAGGTGATTTGAAATCTTTAGCATGATTTTGTTAGCATTTTTGCCGATACACTGACTTTGAATTCTGTGGAAAAAAATTTCTAAAATCATTTTGTTAAATATTCAGGAACAACTGTTAGGCAGTACTACAGTGAATTTGCTTACAAAAAATATAAAGTTGCAATTCTTTCATTTTCTAATCGGAGATTTTGAATTCTCATAAAATAATATAAAGTCATGTTTCTTTTTTATGTGTAATGAAATAAAATGTGAATTAGAAAATTTCTAGATTTTACAGAATTTTTTTATTTATAAAGTGGAGGCATCTTTTTGTTTATTAACTGTTCACTCTTTTGTTTTATTTGTCGACTTTGTAGCAAAATGAATAAACTCTGTGCAAAATTAAGAACTAATTGATAATCTAAAACTAATGTGCAAAATGCTTATGTTTCTAAATCTGTGGGGAAAGGTGGTTAAGCAAATTTAGGATATAATAATATTTAAAATTTTTATGTTGTCTTTTTAATCTCTTTTCTAATTGATGTGTTAATTTTGAAAATATCCAATAGGAAGAAGATTTAGCAATGATTGCAGCTCAGCAGTACTACATTGAACATGGACTCGATTTAAGCATGGATCGATTAATGGCTTTGCTGCCTAACTACATACCGGACTATTGTTTGCAGAGTGGAGACAAAAGTCTCGAAAGATGGGCTAGTTTAGTTATTACTGCTTGTAAAAAGGTATGTTTATCAAAGTGCCTAATATTTGGCTATGTTGTAAAACAGATATGAGGAGCTTGTCTTTTTAAATGTGGTACACTTAGGGTTTGGAAGTATATGTTAACTATACACCTGCATTTAAATGTTTGAGAAAATGTTGGGACTAGAAAAATTCATTGTGAGTGAAAAAGGTAGAATCTAGTTTTGATGCCTTCCAGTTACAGGGTAAAATAAGTCGGCACTTCAAAAATAAAAAATAAATATTTCATGCCATATTTTTATCAGTTTTTGTGCTTCATTTGATTCTGTTTCTAAAAAAAATTGCATTTAATCAAAAAATCAGGAATTTATAGAACAAGAGCATTATAAAAGTCATAATTTTATGTTAATTTTTATTAGATTAGTTAAGCATCAATCTATTAGATTTCTAGAAATTCATTAATGACTGTAACATCAATTTAATTTTGAAATGTATTCTAAATAAAATAAAGCTTGTAAATGATTTATAGCACTTTAAGTTATGTTAAAATTTAAACTCAGTTTGAACTGTAAATTTAATGCGTACTTAAAATTTTAACTGAATCTGGAAAAGGGCTTAAATTACTTTAATTTGTATTAAATGTTCAAGTCCCAATGGTGTTAAAAGAAGCAAGTAGCATGTAACTTGTTTTAATTTATGTCAAAAAGAACTGCATGGTGCCGTAGCATTCATTTTAATTTGTGTTGATAAGAACAAAGCAGATTGTTTTGATTTATGTTGAAAACCACCAGGTGGAATGATGTCATTTCTTTTATTTACACCAAGAAATCCCAAACTGTTTTTATAAGAGAATTAACTGTGCTTTATAAGATTATTGCATGCATTAACACTAGAGATAATTTTAGTATTAGCTTTTATTCATTATCAGATTATTATATACTATTGATTATTATATACTAGATTATTATATACTATTTATTATCAGATTTTTAGTATTCATGTAATTTGCTCCCAGGATGTATATTGGCTCGGGAAAAGGGGGATTATAAAAATGGCCAAAATATTCTACATTTCTAAGTGACAAAGTTGATTTTAACATTGTTCTTATTATCAAAATAACATATTGGCTTTTTTTTTTTTTTTTTTTTTTTTTTTTTTTAAATCAATGTGTACCAAGCACTTTTTCAAGAATTCCTGAGGAAATTTATGTCCAACATGATTCTCTTGAATATGTATATGTTGAAGTCTGTCTTGCATCGATGTAGTCTGTCTTGCAAAAGAGTACCTATCAAATATTTCAAAATTTATTTTTTGCTGTGATCACTAGCAGCTGAGGAAACTAATGAATGCATAGAACTTTTAAGGCATACTTCTGCTGCTCAGGAATACTACATTGAACATGGACTGGATTTGACTGGAACATGTATTATTTTTAACTGATATTGATGGTAAAAGACTGGAAACTAGGTTACAAATAAAATCATTAACAGCAGTATTACTAGAGATGACCATTGCATAAAGATCGACACACACACCTAGAGCACTTACCGTGTTTGAGAAATTGATATTATTTGGTTGCAAAAGTATGATTTAAGTTTTAATATTTGGCAACATTTTTATTTTTTTATAGTAAAAAAAATGAGTTAAAATGTATCTGGCATCTAGAAAGAGTTTATATGGTGCTGGAGAATGTGGTAAGGCTTGTTGTGATAAATGTTATTTAATAAAATTTTCTTTTATGTATTACAATTTTTTTATTTATTTATTTACCCTCTTTTTTTTGGGGGGTAGGTGATTCTTAGAGAGTATAATTTATTTGACTACTTTCACCAACATTCGTAGTAGATCATAGTTGTTCCCTTTGCTGATGAACTTTCATCTAGAACATTGATGTTATTGAGGCTTAAAAACATCATTAGTTTCTTTTAGAGATAAATTTGACTTATATTATAATTAGTGAGTATAAATTAGAAAATATGGCACATAATATGATAAATTTGACTACTCACATAGAAAATTTAACTGTTGATAATTACCTTATATGTGCAAAGAGAATCAAAAGTGAATTAAGAAGTTTGGAAAGTATGGAGGAGTGTGAAAGAAACTGATGAACCACCAAAACAATATAAAGGAAACTATGTTAATTATGAAAGTGAAATAAAAACTTTAGAAGTATGGGATGATGCTAATGCAATAGCAAGAAATATAATGAATCAAACTATGACACCTCAAAAAGTGTTAAAATATGCAAAGAAGCTATAGGAAAACATAAAAAATGAAATCATGGCTAAACAGAAGGTATTCAGATCAAATGTTGAATAGAATTAGCTCAACTGAAAATGAGGCAAAAGGAATCTAGATGATTACATGAAGGGAGCTGTAATTCTGAATGAAATAAGAGATAAAAACTTAATTTACTTCATATTAGTAGGACTTAGAAATGAATTTACATTTGATGTCAAAATAATTAAAAACAGAGAAAATGATATAGCTTCATTTAGACCATTATTAAAAGAAACTGAAGGAAAAAATAGAGAGGAAAAGAAATAGAAGTAGGGAAAAGGAATCTGAACAAAATCAAAATATCATTAAAAAAGATTCTTTAATTGTTGAAAATTAGGCCATTTGATAAATAAATGTCATAATAATAATAATAATTAAAGTGTTTTGGTTGTTTAAAATTTGACTACAAATCAACTGAATGTAAAATGAAAACCAAACAAGAACATAGAAAGGAAAGAAATTTAACACAATAAACTTATAGAATGTCAAACAAGGAAAGAGAATATGAATCAGCTACATACTTATATGAAACATCTAAGAAAATAGAAACTTCATGTCTTAATCAAGATAGAAATAATGAGAATGAAATAGAAGAACAATACAGTATAAAAATTAGATGAATTATAGATTCAGGAGCCACTTCTCACATGGCAACAAGTGAAGAAATATTTGCCAGTTTTAAAGGTTAAGAACAACAAATAATGACAGTTGGAAAAGGAGGCCTGATCAAATCAGTTGGTAATGGTAACATAAAAATGCAAATTATTATAAAGAAGAATAACTTGAGAGTAGAAAATGTTTCACCTGTACCAAATCTAAGTGCAAATATACCATCACTATCAAAAATTCTAGATCATAATTTAAAAGTAATTTCTACCAAAACAAGTGAACAGTAAACATGGAAACATTCTATATATAGCTATCAGAAATGGAAATAAATTTGAAGTTAAGGGAATATAATTTACGAAGCTAAAATTAAGTCATGGTAATGATGTATTGTGGCACCAGAGACTAGGGCATCTAAATTATCAGACTGATAGAAATGAAAAAAAAAAAAAAAAATCATTGGATTAGAAAATTTGAAAATTTCCAAAAACAATTATGAACATTGTACATTAAAAAATGGCACAAACATCTTATAAAAGTGTGAAATTTAAGTAATCCGAAGATAGTTTAGATTTGTATCATATTGATTTAGTTGGACCAATTGAGAAATCAATAGACTGACAATGTTATTTGTTAACAGTGGATGATGACTACAGTACCGTCTTATTTGTGATAGCATTTAGAAAAAGAGTCCCACCCTACCCACTGTTTAGCAATTTTTTGAGCAGCTCATTTTAAATGCATGATTTTAGTTCAGCATCTTGGATTTTTGGAGATAAATTCATATGCTAATAAACTCATCATAACTGTTTCAGATGTTAAACTGGAATCTGAATATGAAGATTACATTGCAGTTTTTTTTTAATTTTTTATTTAAGTTTTTAATGTATTCTGAAATTTTTAAGGGTAAACTCTATTTTTAGGTATGAAGCTGTAATCCAAAGACTTTTTCTTTAAGATATAAAAAGAAAGTATACATTTGTAAATTTTATTAATTTTCCTTTCAACAGAGTTACTATTATCGAGATCGAGTACCTATACCTCGTGTAAAGGAAGATGTAGTAGATTATGCAAAGTTTAAATGGCCTCTGTTGTTTTCACGCTTTTATGAAGCTTTACGATCTGCTGGCCCTCATCTTCCCAAAAATGATGTCATTCTTGCTATTAACTGGACTGGTGTCTATGTTGTCGATGATCAGGAACAAGTCTTATTAGAACTTTCATTTCCTGAAGTTACATCCATTGTGAGTCAAAAGTAAGAATGATTTATCCTGTATTTTCAATTTGTATAAGTATCTAAAATTTATTGTTCATGTTGAAATTATTTTGCAGATACATTAAAGTTTATTAATCCTAGAATAATAATATTCTCAGATTATGTTAAATGGTAAAAACACAGTATAAATGTCATTTAATTTGTAAAAATATTTAAAGAATTTCTTTTATTTTCTGCAGTTTCCTTCAGTGTAAATGCTTTAAAACAAAATATAAGATAAAGAATAATTTTTACAGCCTTTTTTAATTTTAAAAGTAAATTTAAATGAATTTAATATTAAGAAAAAAGAATCCTGGCCTATATTTTATCATGCATCATTAGCATTCTAAAAATTCTATCGCCTTCATGTAAGAATAACTCTCTTGAAACTAGGAAATCTTAATTTCCAGTTAGCATTTATATCTAATTTTGAAATAATTTATTTTTCTATAATAATTTATCTAAATGCCTTTCACTCTTGTGATATTTTCTTTTGTTTTATGTCAGGGGGACTCGACCTTTCCTTCAGAGTTTTAATATTAGTACTGTTCGAGGAGAAGAATTTACATTTCAGTCACCTAATTCTGATGATATAAGAGAGCTAGTTGAATTCTTTTTGGAGGGACTAAAAAAGCGAGCAAGATATGTCATTGCCCTTCAAGATTATAAAGGTAAGAATTGCAACATTTGTAGAAAAAGAAATTGAGAATATATGCTTTGTTTTCAATGCTGCTCTGAAGACAGGCATGTCTTATTTGAATGTATTTTTCAGACGTAGTGCTTTTTCTACAAATTAAACTTTTGGAGCAATGGTGCATCAAACTAGTTCATTGGCACAATATTGCAGACCCAGTTTGCTATCTTCTGTATCTTGATGAAGTTCATGTATTTCTGATAAATTTTCTTATGACTGTTGAATTAGGAACTAGGTCAGATAATCTGACTATGATGTCTGTTTCTGTGTTTTTAGTACTACTAATATTGTATTGATTTAAATATTCCAAATAGTATTTTAGCAGACAGATATTATTTTTAAAATGTGTTTCTTGTTTCTGAGAGTGTTTTGTTTTCATTATGTGTTTTAGTCTTTCTTTAAATTATTTATATTTAATACATAAACTGAGACAATATTAATGCATATGTTTGGAACTTTAAAATTGAGTATTGATTTGAACTGCTAAAATTCTCAGCATTGATTATGTCATTTAGTATTGAGAAGCTTTCAAAACATACCATTACTGGATTTAAATTCATTCTTATTGAATTATTTATAATAAAATGTACAAGTAGAAGAATATTCATGCAAAGATACATGTTTAAGCTTCATTTAGATTTGAGTTAAAACTGGTTGCAAATCCTGTTAAGTATCTACTTAAGATCTCAAAAGTTTAGATACCATGTTAATGCCAGAATCATATAGGAAATTTTTACAGATTTGTAGAACTAAGAAAAATCTCACTTGTAATTTCTGCCTGTGTGCCAGAAATAAAAATGGAAGAAGTTAAGGTAATAGGTCAGGGATAAGTAATTGACTCAAAAATGTTATGCCACATAAAAGGTATTCAGCTAGTTTTTTTAAGAAATGATAAAAAGTATGGCTGCATTATTATAGTTATTTTTATTAATACATATTGTAAACGTTACAATATGTATTAATTGATTTTAAAGTAGATTTATGTCAAGATCTCAATCGATTTCAAGGGCAAACAGATACAGGTCCTTTTTCATCAGGAGCGAAGAAATCTGCAAGCCTGGAAAGCAGTGAGCATGACGTTCGTATTTATACTCCGTTGTAAAGCAAATAAGAATGTATCGCAATTTATCAGCAAAAATATTACCGAAATTTTAAAAAATTAAGTTAATAGAATTTTAACACCATTAGGAAGGACTGGATTGGATCTAGTCATTGACTATATAAGATAAATCTGTGAATATGAAAAGCTTCAAGAAAATTCAGTTCACCAATTGAAGAAGCTTGTTGAATGATTTTTGTTGACCCAAAGTCGAAATTATGATTAAATTTCCAACAATGTTTAGCTGTCGAAAATTTCTTAATGTAGCCTTTTCGGACATAAGATCCATGTTTTTTTATAAGAAACTTTAATGACCTTTTAATTTGGCCATTGTATCTCAAACGACACTGACACAAATTGCTATAAATTACCTAAGAATTGAAATTAGAAATGGAATCTTTAAGAATCAAACCGTAGATTTCGTTGATAGATGAGAAAATGACACAAACAGGGTTTCTGTGGCACAAACTTTGAAAGCACAGAATACATAATAGTAAAAAGAAGACTTATTTTACTGAGCCGCATGACATACTATGGGACGGTAAACGAACAAAATAGGTATTATGGTAAACAGCAGTGCTTAAATCAGATTCATTGTGAATTATAAGAATTTCAAGGAAGGGAATTGTCAGATTTCCAGAAAATTTCAAGAGTCAAACGGATGGCTGAATCACTAAAATTCATAATCAACAAAATTTGGTATAATCAGCTTGATTACCATCAAAAAGCGTAGAAGTGTCATCTACGTAGCGAATCCAGAGATGAAAAGAAAGTTTCTCAGATAATTTGACCTCAAAATAGTGCATGTAAATGTCAGCAAGTACAGGACTGAGGGGATTACCCATAGCAAATCCCTCAATTTAGTGATAATATTCATTTTGAAAAACAAAATGTGCTTGGTTCAAACAGATTTTAGTAAGAGTAGTTAATTATTCAATTTTAGTATGTGTGAAAAGGAATTCTCAAAGCCTAGTTTCATGACAATTTAGTGCTCCTTCTACTGAAACGTTAGTAAAAAGTGATTTCACATCAAAAGAGACCGTAATGGAATGCAAGGGAGAAAAAGCTTTATGTTTATTGGTGACTTAAGAAATTTTTACTGTGTGAATATAATTAGAAAGTAAAGAAGAAAATATGGAAACTAAATATTTGGCCAATAGATATGCTGCTGTTCCTAAGTTGGAAACTATAGGTCAAAACGGAATTCCAATTTTGTGGCCATTGGAGAGAGCACTCAACCTAGCACAGTTAGTAATAGGTGGAATAAAGTGATTTTTTAAATTGAGAATGCTATAAGACTGACCAGCTGTTTTTACTTTTCTGAGATCAAAAGTTTAAGGATCCTTAGGGATCTAGCAGTATGGGCCTTTATTTATCAATTTCAAGACTCCTTCAATATTCCCTTCCTTGATATTCTTATAATTTGCAATGAATCTGATTTCAGCACAACTGTTTACCGTAACCCCTTTTTGTTTGTTTACTGCCTCATGGTAAGTCGTGTCACCTGACTAAGCAAAAAATGGCTTCTTTTTGCTATTCTGTGTTTCACACTCTCAAAGATAGTTCCTCAGAACTTCTGCTTACTAGAGAACTCAATTATTTGAGATCATTTGCTATTGACTGAGAATTTTCTCACATGGTCATTGATAAAAACTTTAAAAAAACAAAAAAATAAAAAATAATAATCTGCTTACAATCAAAGAAGACATTCTGCTATTAGAAATAGCATTAATAACCTTGTCGTGCTTCCATTTTATCATTCTGTCAGTTATAAAATTGCATGGATTCTTCAGAAATTCGATTTTCAAGTCATTTTCTTGCCTATCAGTGAAATCCATGATTCGAATCTTAAAAGATTTCATTTCTAACTTAAATTCTTGAGGGATTTATAGCATATCATGTCAGTGTGGCTCAAGATACATTGGCCAAACTAAAAAGAGCGTTAAAATTTTGTATCAAGCAACACGAATCTTATGTCCGAAAAAGCAAAGTTAACAAATCTTCGATAGCTAATTATTGTTGGAAATTTAACCTCTTCGTCATCTGTAACATGTCTAGCACATTCAAGTGAAACTTCTGCAGGGCAGCCGTAATGTGTTGCTAGCGTTCTTCTACATTTTAAAACTTTTAAACATTTAAAACACTTTCTAAATTTATTTATACTTGTTTGAGTTTTTATTTTTGTTTGTTCTAATACCTCCTAGAGGGCAGCACTAATCAGGCATTCTATTTCTAATTGAATTTCCCCTGTGTTTTATGAATAATTCGCGCTATTTTACATAAGATACAAGACAGTGAGAGATGGCTTCAATGCCTACTCAGTGGAAAAAGAGAAAAAATGAGGTTGTGAATTGGAAAGACAAAAAGGATATACGTTTGATGAGTACAGTCCATAATAACTCGATCATTGATATTGAAACACGGAAAAGAACTGTAAAAAAAACAGTAATTGTAAAAGATTACAACAACAAAGTGGGAGGAGTGGACCACCTGGATCAGATGTTATCAAATTATCCTGCTGTGAGAAATAAGCAAAGATATTATCACTTTTCCATTATGCTTTTTATTTCCTTATAATTTTACTTAATATTCATTTACTACATTCATCCGCTTGGAAAGTTGTGGATGTACAGAGAAAACAACATTACACACTGCGAAAAACAGAGGACTGCTGGGGAGAAATTTTTGTGAGCAGGAGAGAATGTCAAAAGGGTTAATCATAATTTTGACTTTGAATCTGCAAAATCATTCGAAAAGCTTCTTCATTTGATGAATTGGATTTTCTTGAGGCTTTTCAAATTCACAAAGATCTATCTTGATTAGCTAATGACTTAAAAGTCCAACCCATCCCTTCCTAACACTTTTAAAATTCTATTAACTTAATTTTTGTTTTTGTTAATATTTTACCAATAGATGGTGCTATCGTTTTGCTTTACTGTGAAGTGTAAATATGACTTGTAAGCCCACTACTTTCCAGTCTTGCAGATTTCTTTGCTCCTGACAAAGAGGGACCTGTAAAAAGCTTTTACAGATGTAAAATATCAGTTGTTGTTGACAACTATAAAAGTTGTGGTAAAAATGACAATGCTGCATTTTGCTTCTGATCCTCTTCCTCGTTTAAAGTACCGTATATTCCGGCATGTAACGTGCGCTTTGAATACAAAAACTCGGATCCAAATTTACGTGTACGCATTATACTCTGGGTATATAAATGATAGATTTAAAAACATGTGATCATATGTCTAAAACTGTAAAAAATACAAATATTTAAAAAAAGAAGTAAATTAAAATTTAAATCTAAATCTGTAACTCAAAAATGATTTTTCATTTAAAAAAATTCTCATAACTCTTTATATCCAAATTTATTCATTTTGAATAGCAGTGTAGCTGGTTTAATGCTATGTATCACACATATCTTTATATATATACATATATATATACATATATAATAAAGCACTTCAGCTTGTCTGTAGTGCATTGCCCCCAAAAAAAGTAAGTTTGGATGAAAATTGTTGTCTGTGGCATTAATAACAATATAAAATGGAATTTAAATTTTTAATGCTATTTTAAAACATAACTGCTGCTTGTGTAGTAATTTCATCCAGCTACATTTCATGGTAACTCCACGAGCTACTATACTAAACTGGCAAATGAATATGCCATTTTTGAAGTTGAAAAAACTTACTCAAATTTATTATGGATTATTATTATTATTATTTATTATTTATTATTCCTTAAGAATGGTGGACTCTTCCACCAGAGATCAGCAACAGGCAGCTTGTCAGAACTTGGTCCTCAGGAAATAAGGTCTGCTGGATGTTTCTCTGAATGCACATAATTCTACTGGCAAGTCTGTATTAGTTCTTGGGCCTTTAGCA